TTTTAGTACATGTATGAAATCCGTTTGTGTGTTGTTTTTTATTAGTTTAAGATTTCATTGATATTTTAGTACATGTACTAAACAATGCAATTAATATGTTATTCGTGTTTCCCATAGTATTTATGCTAGAATTTGTTTGTTTGTTTGTAAAGTTGTGCTAGAGTCATTTCTACATACTTTTAGTACATGTTGGGAAACTAATATTTGCACCTTATATTTTCATATACAGCTTTCATTAAAACTGATTGATTGCCCTAAGTGTATTTGAAGTTTTTTATTAAATATTGCATTTTAGTACATGCAGTAAAATAATTTTGTTTGTATAAGTCTGTAATTTTACTCGGGAAAATATCCATTTAAATATATGTTATTCCGTTAACTGTCTCAAATCTGAAATCGGAATCCTAAGCAAATGGTGTTTGTGTATTTTAGTACACGTGCCAAATAACATTCATTTATGCATTTATGAAGTATAATCATGCTTAAAAAGATTAGCTTACACCATTTACTAAATAAATAATGATTTAAGCTCTATCTTATAATGAATGTAATGCATCTCTTAGTACATGTACTAAAACGAACTAAATGACCAACTGTGTAAGAAATCATAGTTCTAATGCTTCATATGCCTAATGCATGTACTAAAATGATGAGGGTAACGATTGCAAGTCCTACTAAACGTGAGTCAGATCCTAATTTTGCCAATTTCGAGCAGATAATCTCTTTTATTGTCGCCTGTCATAAATCACAATTGGATACGTCCATTGTCTCTATGCTAATGAGTTTATTTTGAAGATGAAAATTACCCAACGGACAGCAAGTCCACCTACGTAATGAAAACACGCGCACATCTATAGTATACATCAAATTTATGAACAGCAAATGGAAAACGTATGAAATGTCTTTAAAATAAATTCATGTATTTGTTGCCAGCAAACAAATTGTTGAGCTATAGAATGTGTATCTGTAGCTGAGCGAAATTTTTTTTCTTTAAAAATAACACAGGTGAATATGAACACTGCCCGATGACAAACCCATTTTCCGACCCGCCTGACTCACTCTCCCAGCACCCAGTGTCAGTTTTTGTAGCTGTCTTCATTGTACAGTGGGTGACAAATGTATGCATGCATGAAGTTGTATTAGATGTGCTGGTATATGAAATAGAGCTGTTTACATTTGTTAACTGCTGAACAGATATCGGTTAAAAGCACGCTATTCTATATACATATATATATATCTGTGATAATATATAGATATGTATATTTGTGTATGGGGAGGAACAGCACCTACATCGATCGACACAAACACCACACACGAAAGAACTGAGAACTGAACTGGAAGATTGCTCAACGCAAACTAATCTATAGAATTGTGAGTGCACACGGCACACGGCGCTGAGAATTCCCATGTTTCAGTTTTATTCGAAAAATTTGTGCTTTTCTTTTTCAGTTTTTTTTATACCCTGAACCCATTGAAAATGGGAAATCAGGGTATAATGGTTTTGTGAAAAAGTATGTAACGGGCAGAAGGAGGCGTGGCAGACCCCACAAAGTATATATATTCTTGATCAGGGCGACGAGCTGAGTCGATATAGCCCTGTCCGTCTGTCCGTCCGTCCGTCCGTCCGTCCGTCCGTCCGTCCGTCCGTCCGTATGAGTGCGTCGATCTCAGAAGTTATAAGAGCTAGAGAGCTGAAATTTGGCATGCATANTGTGCACACATATTTACCATATGATTACGCTCTAAAAGTTTCATTAAGATCGTATGTCTACAAAAGAAGTTATTCAACAAATAAATTCTCATAATATTGCCCACACTGCAGCGCAGCCCAAGCGCAGTCGCTGCGTACTGCGCAGTTAGCAGAGCGCAGGCTTATGCGTGCGTGTTGATGCATGTGTATGTATGTGTGCATAAAAGAAGTGCAGAATGAATAGAATATCAGCTTGGAGGGTTCAGGGTATCTCCTAGTCGAGCAGTCTCGACTGGAGCTTTCTTACTTGTTTCTTTTTCGGTTTCATTTGAGAAACTTTAGATGCGGAACAATTTTCATCTAATATCTCGCCAGAGAGTGGGATGGAAATATGAATGTGTGCGTAGCTCTGCCACGTCGATGTGTGTGTGCGTGTGTATCTCAACAGCAGCCAAGGCAGCGGCGTCTGTGGTTTTTCAACTTGTTCTACACACATCACACACACACATAAACAAACACACATGCTCACACACGAGTTTGAAAAGTTTTTCATTTCACATCATTCGCTCGATTCTCTTATTTTTTTGTATGCGGTAACAGGGCGAAAATGTTGTGCGAAAATTCTTCGTACGCTTGTGCGAATTTGAAATGGGGGAAACTGCATTATCATGATTAGCTAATTCAATGCAAAGACGAATCGTTCAATAAATTGTTTACACTCTCTGTTCAGGGTCTGATCCATAAAGGTCAAGTGGCAGGTGTGTTGTCTGATCTCTAAAACGTTCACATGGATAAATAGTTGCAACGTTTTCCCAGTTACGCACAATCAATTTTCACTATATAAAGCCAGAGGAGGCTAGGAGGCTAGGCCAGGCTAGGCTAGTTGGCCAGTTAGACCATCTGTGCACTCTGGGCCAAAAGCTAGTTCACTAAAAAACAGATCTATAAATACGAGTTCGTGGGAAATGTTTTTCTTTTTTCGTTACATTGCCCCAATGGAGCCAGCTACATTTTTCTTTTACGTTATTTTCCGTCGCTTTTCCTCGTTTTTTCTTTCTTCTCTTTTTTATGTGTGTGGTGTCAAAATGTGTGCCAAATTTTCTATAATTAAACTTCATCATATGCAGTTCTTGATTTTATTTCTTTGTGGCAGCTTTTTACCGATATTTGTTCACAAGTTTTATCTGTATGAAAATGAATTGCAGAAACTCTCGAATAAATATACATATATACATGTATGTGTATTTACTTTTCGTTCGTTATAATAAAAATTCGCAAAAAAACGTATTTTTGTTTTCTTAATTTGTAGTTAGAGCCTTTTGGCTTCGATTAGCAACGATTTTCGACTGAGCGGGCTAGAAAATTGTCAACTTTTTGTTGGGGGCCGCTACCCTGGCGCTATGTGGACTCTGAGAATATATCTGTCTGCACACGGCACAACGGATAGCGACAGCGAAATGCTTGTCGTCTTAGCCAAACGATAGGGATGACTATATAGTCGACAAACAACAACGATATCAGCAGCAACACCAAAGGCAGCAACAACAACAACAACAGCGAGACGAACAACAAATCAAAATGTTGTATAGTATAAGACATAGTCAATGCGATCATTGCCGTAAATTTGATCAGAAACAACAAATAAATAAATGAATGAATAACGAATTTCGACGACTTTTCCAGCAGATATTTACTTGTTTGAAGGCAAGGAATGTGTCATTGGTTACCCTGTAATAATATTTAATAGTGCATATATATGACTCTTTCTCAAGTACAGTCGAGTGTAAGTAAAACAATGAGTATCTATTGATCATCAGCTTTCAATATTGTTCTGTGTTAATATTACACATTTGCATTTAATTAAAATTTAAAATTCATCATTCCCACACACACCACTTTCATATTAGAAGCAAAATTAATGGGACATGGTCCACGTCAATGCACATCAATCACATCGAAAAATAGAAAATAGCAAATTCATCTATGTGAATATTGATGGAATAGAGGAGGCATCCAACAAAAATACACACCATAACTGAGGCAAACTCAGAATAGTTGCATTTCTCAATCATAAATAAGCAAATACCCTGTGCTATTGCAGAAGATAAAGAAATCTATAGAGAATTTCAATATGAGGTATATAGACCATAAACGATTTTTAATTCGATTTCATTGAGCTATGAACAGTGTAAATTTAAAAACAGTTCATTTAACAGAAGTGAGCATTAACAGACACATAGTATGTTAACATAAAGTCACTCTCATAAGAAAAAAGCTGTTTAAGAGACCGCCAATATTCTAATAGGATAATAGAGCAAAAACTGAGAGTTTAACAGAAATGTTAGTTAACATGAAGGGCATTAAACACCTACTGACCGTATTAACAGTAGTATAGGAGCAACTTAACATAGTGCAATAAGTTGAAGATTGTTAAAAACGAAATCAATTTGCAATTGTTCAAGTGTGATTTTGTTAGATTTTGGATTTAAATATTCTCTTAATTCATAATTGAATTAAACCTAAACTACAAGTTGAATACATTCGGTATACCGAATACTAAATATGTAGCTTGTTAATATTTATCTTAGGTCAATAATATATATAAAACATACATTTATGTCATAGTAGATACGTCTCAATAGGTTTTAATAAGTTGCAATAATATTAAGATTTAATCAAAATAACCTGAGGTGATCACAAGACATATTCTTTTTTAGAGTCACGCCCCTTTTACATATTGTAGCGAAATTATAATACTCCTTATCAATTGGTATACAAATATATAGAGGGTATTGTCGAAAAACACGAATTTCTCGAACATTTCTTTCAGGTATGCCCACATATTTTCCACATACATTGAGCTGCGCACCTTGTGCTTGACGTTTTACATATATGTATGTATTTATATAAATATATGTATTTTTTCTTTCCGAAAGGTGTATGCATTAATAATTGCATTTCTACTTATAAATATGATACGAAAGTTGGTAAAGCGCCTGCGCCGGCCACTCGCGTCGAGTAGGAGCGAGTGAAATGGTTATAGAAGTGAGTTGACTAGTTGGTTCATCCTTTCGAACCGACTGTCGGATGTGTGAGTAGCAGACACTTGACAAGTTGTAGACAAGTGTACGAGATTAGAAGACTATTATTCAAAGGCAACTTTGTGGCCAGACGAGCGACTGTCTCAAGAGAGCAGAGAGCTCTTAAGAGAGCGGTACGAAAACCACTCAAGAGATGCGCTCTACCGAACTATTTATAGGGCCCTGCGCGCACAGACTGAGAGATAAACAAAACTAGAAAATTGACTCACCCGCTTGGAGCTTTTCTCGATTTCCTTCTCGAAGTCCGTTAGCGGCGTCAGAGTGACGTGCACATCCTTAATAATATCCCGGAATGAGCTGTAGCAAACGAAGAATATTAGTATATAGAATACTCAATAATGATTCACTTTCTAGTTAATTTGTATACCTATTGTGATCTTCCAGGTTGATGCTGGTAACTGCCTTGGCAGCGTCCACCTTACGCTTTTTCGACACAGTGGAGCTGCTGGCTGAGGTTGCCTGGTTGTGGCTTGATGTTGTTGTGGATGTGGCAGTTGCAACTGATGCAGCTACCTTACTGTTGTTGCTGCTGCCACTGCCTGGATTAGTGCTGTTGGAGCCGAGGCCAAGCGGATTGAGAGTGCTGTTTGTGGACGTACCAGCGCCCGACAAACTATCCAGATTATTTGTATTGCTGCTACCCGCAAAAGAAGATGACGCATCCTTCACGGCGGTATTACTGTTGCTACTGCTTGTGGCATGCAGCTCGGCGCCGAAGCCGCCGCCCAAGTTGCTCGCCAATTGCAGTTTGCCCGAGGCGCTGCCCGTTGAGCTGCTCAGAGCCGACGTACTAAGATTCTGGGCATGATTACTATGTTCATTGACCGAGGCAGCAGCTAGACTGTTGCCAGCATTGCCACTACTAGATACATGCGCTGTTGAAGTGGAGCTGCTGTTGGCCGTAATGCTGCTGGCACTGGGCATGTTGCTGCTGCTTGTTGCATTGCTGCTGGAAGCAACGATGGCAGCTTCTTTGGAGCTTTCTTTGTTTTTGGATGACTTTGCAGATTTGTCGCGTGACGACGACGAGGATGAGGACGACGAAGAGGTTGATGAGTGGGAAAAGCTATTGTTTGATGAATTACTACCGCCATCCTTATCCTTGTCCTTGTCCTTGCTGGAACCAGAGCCGGATTGCTTGCCTAAGCTTTTACTATGCTTATCCTTGTAGCTGCTGCTAGAGCTGGTAGCCGAAGACTTAGTGGTTGAATTGCTTTGCCCTATTGCATTGCCGGAGCTGCTGCTGCTGCCGGCTCCAGTCACATTGGTATTGCTACTGCTGCTCATAGCATTACCACTGCCTGGGAGTGGGGCTGCAACGTTGCCACTAATAGAGCTCGTTAAGGAGTTGCTCATGGTATTGTTATTACTAGTAGAGATTGTGCTGCTACTGCTGTTGCCGCCCAGAAAGCTGCCAGCAGTTGAAGGGTTCGTCACCACGGCTGAGCTCGATGAGCTTGTGGAGTTTGGCAGCCCCGTTGCTGTTGCGGAACTGCTGCCTGATGATACCGAAGATTTGCCGGAGGCATTCGATTTGCGCTGCTTCGATGAGGATGAAACGGTGTTTCCGCCGCTCGACAAGCTTGAGGAGCTAGCGGCTAAGGTGCTGCTTGTTATCTTAATGCTTGTTGCTGATGTGGATGCCGAGTTCATGGTCGAATCGATTTCCTTCTCAGGCGACGAGCACGAATCGGAGGAGGTGTCATGTTGTACGGGTTTGTAGGGTGGTATGGTTTTGACGTTTCCGCCCTTTTTCTGCGAGATGTATAAAGAAAGGCATGAGCGTATAAAAATTGAGACTCGAGCATAGACTCACCAATTTGCTGTAATGATGCTGGCAATAGCCGCAGTATTTGACATTATCTAAGTAGTTGCCAGCCTCCTCGCAGAGCAGCCCCAAGCTTTGGGCACAGGTCACATGGAACTGTTGCTTGCAGTTGGCCTTGTTGCACTGCATGCAAGCCCCGACATTGGCACGGTTTGGTTTTCCGATCTCCAGGCATATGTAGCAGGCTGTGATTATAAAAACAATGTACAACAATTAGTAAGAGAATGCAGCGGCTATGGCCAACATGACTCACTCTTGGAGTAGCGTTCCTGGGGTATAAGGGTCAATATAATAGGCTCCATAGTGGTCACATTGCCGAATCGAATCTCGGGTATGTAGAGGGCGCAGACGACATGCGCCCAGCCGCTGGTGTCAGTCTTCTTGAGGGCTCCATCTCGCGAGGGGCAAATCTCGCAGCGCACGCGCGAAGTGCGCTCCTGGGATTCGCATTTACGACAATACCAGGGACCGGTGGGTACGGTAACGATGCCATAGCATGCCTGATGCACAGCAACGGTGCAGTTTTGGCCGTCACAGTAGACGAGCGGGTTCTCCGGCCACCCCCGCTCGTCCGAACAAACGCAGCATCCGCCCACCATTTCTTTCATATCGTCCAGCTTAAACTTCTTAATTTTGATTAATTTTCTATTCAAGTTGGTGGAGTGAATGGTGTCGTCGTTGCTGCTGGAGTCTAACAACTCCAGTTTTGTATTTAGTGATGAAGGAATTGCGTCTGTTTACAAACACCCACTGCAAAAGAAAAACAAAAACCAATTAAATACTGTTACAATAGAGATAATCTAAAAATTCAATGGCTAAGCATACATTGATAAGTTAATCTTATTTCTTCTTAAATTTCTTAAAACTGGGTTTACAGTAACGAAAACAATTAAATAAAACTCCTATTAATAATAAAGTGTCAAGCTGCTTAAAATGAAATATAGATACTATATACTTAAACTAAAAGCCTCTAGCTCTCTAAACAAAAGTTTATAAAAAAAAAATTAATTTGACTTAATTATTACAGTTGCTCACCAGAAAATTATTGATTGTGGTTAATTGACAAGTCAACTAACCTCAAGCCGCCTCTTAGCTAAAACGAGAAAAAAAAAACAAATTACTAAATATGCATGTAAACATATTATTAATAAATATTGTTCAATAATTAAGGTTACACAAGCTCTACTGTTGACACATAAACAAAGTCCTTGAATCGATATATCGCTGGCATGTGTTATCGATATTTGCATTTGGCCAATTGCATTGCAGGTGCTTTTCGCAAGGTCAATGGCGCATTCGTAAACAATAACAATAACAATCAAAGGCAGGCCGGGCCGGGCCGGTTTATTTATTAAATAATACTTAACATGAAAATTCTGTGCGCTAGAGTGAGACAGTATGTGTGCACAATTCACTCACACACACATAGAAGTAGGTTCTGTTTGCTAAACACACTACGCACGGCACACATACACATACATACATGTATAGAGTTCTCAATGTCAAGGTATATATATATATATGCATGTATATGTATATATTTTTCTTTTACGGCCGCCAACGCACTTCAAACAGCGATTGTTTTTGTGTTTTGATTTTGGGGCACACAAATTATAGCGATAAATATATCTACATCACATCCTAATGGGTACAATAATCGATGCCCATAAAAATACCAACAAATTTTGGTTACGATCACAAAAATACACGCACACGAACACATACACACACACACATACGGACAGGCATTCGAACGGATGGGCATTCCACCGATTGACTGGTTCATTGAACCTGTCGGTGGTCACAAAATAAAATGTTGCTTTTTTCTTGATGTAAACAATGCCAGCGTTAAATATAAAACTAAGTAATTTTCTTACATTGATATTCAACACAGCCTCAATTAACAGTTGCATTAGATGATTATTGATTTTTCAACACAGTGATTTTGTTTAATTAGCACAAGAAGAAATGAAATTGAAGCACATGCATATGTGGGTCGCATCTGCAGAGATTTTATGGTTGCTGCAGCAACGAACCAACATAATCATAATAACGAAGACCGTCGAATGCCATGCTGGCTTTCATTCACGTTTTTTTTATGTATACATACATATATGCATGTGCGTTTTTGCGTATGTATGCGGGTGTCTTGTTGTACCGTTATTGGGTCAACGTGTTGCCAACTGCCGAAAACGCAGTGGCTGCGATGCGCGTGTTGCCAACTGCTCGCGAGAGCAACATTAACAGTGTAAGTGTAAATAAAAGAACTAAATGCACACACACATATATATACACGCACAAACACGAATGAAATGAGGCCGCTCCGCACGCAGCTTTTGTAATGTTTACAATACGACGTTGGAGCAGGGGTAGCGGCAGAGCAATGCACTTTCGACGAGAACGCCTACAAGCAAACAGATACACACAAAGATTAGATGTATATAAGCATACACACACATATCCATATGTATATATAAACCAAATGCCGCATAATGGGGCGCATTTGGGGAGGAATGTAACGGCACTTTATATGTATTTTGTATATACATATATACATATGTATATAAATATTTTCATCACTTGAAGCAAGATGCTCTGAAAGGGGCTGGGATGGTTTTGGTTTGGGCTGCGCTAGATGCGGAATTGGAGTTGGAGCAGACAGCGAGAGCGAGCGAGGGTGGTTTGTGTTCCGCTTTCACACTTAAAGCATGCCACACACTTCAATTTCAACCAGTTTTCCACAAAAATGTGTATACTCAAAGCTTGAAATTATTGATTTTCTGCGATTACATTTAAATCAACTCGACGTGGGCACCTTAAAACGTCATCACATTCACTGGCAGGGTGAAAATTTAACCCAACTCAAAACCAACAACAACATCAAAAACATTAGCAGCAACAACAAAAATACAACGAAAACTAGTTTTAGACCAAAAACAACATGAAAATGCGCGCGGTCAAAGTGGTCAAGCAACGCGAAGCGGCACACGCACATACACATTCACACACATACAGGCGCACATACACATAACTGAGAAGAAATATCTGCTTAGGGAGCGGCAGCGGCAGCGGCCCACCGACACTGATTGGGAGTCTTAAAGAAATTCTTTTGATTCGCATTTGCTATTTGCATAGACTCACTGTAATTTCTTATTGGAAGCGCGATGCACAATATGAATATTGATTTTCTTTAACAGGCACTTTTTTGTCCCTTTGCGTTCCAATTGTTATTTCACTTTATTCCATTTTCTTCACATTCGTTTCCTTTAATTGGAAGATAGCGACGATTTTAAGTTTTTTTTAATAGCCGCTAAAGCCGGACAGCGATGGTTTGGCCGCCCACGAGTTACAACGCACGCAAGTACAATAATCAACACACAAAAAAGGCGCTGAACATCCACCAACAGCAGTAACAACAACAATATGCACGAGTATTTACCTTGTAACTTGTTTGTTGTTGTTTCGCTCGCACCACAATTCAACTCGAAGATACGCCCGAATGAGACAACACCTGCACACAGACTGCTGTATACAAATGCAATTCTTCGACGACGTTTTCAGCCTCTGCGACACTTTTTCGGATCAAAACTGCATTTATAACACTTTGCGGCTTCCCGAAGTAACAGCGATTTATTAAAATTATTAAGATTTAACTGGATTTTCGACTTTTACAACTTTTTAGACCACTGCGACTGTGATCAGCAATGGTAATATTGTAAGAACAAGAAAACAATCGATTAATTCAAGCAATCGATTTAAATAGGTTGGCAGAGCTCTGAATTCACACGCAGCCAACTTCACTCAAATAGCTTTTATTAACAGAATTCTGTTAGGTCAATTGGCGTCAACAGACTGTAACGGCAACAGCTGTTGCGAAAAATCAATTTTGCAAATCGGTCTGTGTCTGAGCATATAATTTATTTAAAACATAAAAAATGTCCTCAAATGCTGACTGTTTTATTGTGCTGCCAGCCAATACTAAGTGTGGCTCCCTAATTTTCGGTCGCAATGGCGAGGACGCTGCAGCGGTAGGCGTGGCATCGGAAATCTGTTACTATGATGTCAGCGACGTGCTGGAGGGGAAGGTAAGCCAATAAACAGCCGAAAAAGCTTAAGTGACTCATCTTCAATGCTTTGCCACTTGCCACATATGTTAGACTGATGGTGGTGCTGCTTTAGAGCCGGTGACCGATGCTCTACGTGTTATATTGCAAAAGCCGAAGCCCTTCCTTTGGGGCGGCGACTTTGGGGCCAACGAAAGAGGCGTGGCCATAAGCCTCAGCTGGGCTGACGGGGATCAGGAGGCGAAAGACAGTGATTGTCTTCTAAGCACTGATATAGTGCGGTAGGTAACAAAATATGTACATACATATATATATAAATCCATATGTATGATATATATATATGTATGTCTGTCGCTTATATATGTACATATGTGTGTCTGGTTTTATAAAATTATCGTACATGCTGCAGGGTGACACTAGCCGAGGCTAAAGATGCGGAAGCAGCCGTTGAACGTATTGGAGCGTTGGTAGCGAAGCACAGCAACGACAACGCCAAGATGAACTTTATAGTTTGTGATCCTACGGCTGCCTGGATTTTGAGTAGTGCCGGCAAAGTGTGGGCCGCCGAGAAGCTGCAGGCCAGCTGTCTACGTGTGCCTAGTGGTGGGCTAACCGTAACCACAACTATCGATAAGTCAAGTGACGGCCTGGATACTACTGCTAGCTTTGCAGCTGCTCACGATGCGGAGGCGCAGGCACCGGAAGCTGATTGGTGTGGCCTGAAGCCCGTTGGCGATGGCACCTACACGCAGCAGGATATGTTCGAGACATTGCGCTTGGCGAGCGGTGCTGGTTCACGGGCGGCCAACGTATCGGTGCTAACTGCCAAGGGCAGTTCCATTTCGTGTCACTGGTTCACCGGCACACCAAATGCCGCCGAATCTGTATTCAAGCCGTTTGTGTTTGCGCCCAAGCCACGTATTTCGCCGCTGACTCAGGTGCAGGCTGACACGGAGCAGACGCTGTTGCACAGCTTGCATGCCAATCGTAAGCCAGCTGCGCTGGAGCACTTACGCAGCTTGGAGCGTTCCTGTGTCGATGAGTTGAATAATTACTTTTCTATCCAGGATTTTGCCAGCGAAGAGCTGGACGAGCTGCTCAAGGATTGCGTTGAGGCCGAGGTCAAGTTTTATCGCTAGAGCAAATCCTTGGAACGAACACACCATGCTAATTATAATACTATGATATTCAACTAGCTTGCAACCAGGGCRAAGGCTCTTTTGGACGCACCAATTCCATTCGACTTGTTCATTTCATAT